AACTACTTTAACTGATCTTTCTTTGAAACACTATCACTGGCTATAAGCATTTTGTTGACATACAAGAAGAAAATATATTACATTGTTCTTTGAAATTTTTTTGTTATAAACACATATATCAAACGAGTTTCTTTTGTAAGAATTCTGATTCATAAATGAATTAAATTTCTTATAAGAGACTATTTTAATTCATATAAAAACTTCTTAAGGAGACCAACCTTATTTTCCTGTCCAACTTTGATAACTCCCTCTGGTTGAATCATGTAAATAACTTTCTCAAGATCTCCATGCAGAAAAGCTATTTTAACATCCATTTGTTCAAGCTCAAGATCATATATTGCAACCAATAACAAATTACTCTGATCGAAGTAAGCTTAACAACTAGTGAGAAAATCTCAGTATAATATATTTCTTCTTTCTGAGGGAAGCCCTTTGCCACTAACCTTATGTTATACCTTGTTGCCCAACATCTGAAACACCATAGTTTCTTTTATAACCTTGCCTTAAACGCTTGTTTGGTGGTTTATGCATAAGTTCCCTAGTACAATTTTTTTCCAGTAATTCCATTTATTCATTCATCACTTGATTCCAGAAACCCTTTTGATCACTGCTCATTGCTTCCTTATACAATCTAGGCTGATCATCTACTAACCTTTTCAGTAGTTATAAGAGTATATGGAATTAAGTCGGCATAACCTAAATGATTTGGTTCTTTTATGCTCCTTGTTCGATCTCTGGCTAGACTATACTTTTTTAAATTGTTTCGATCTCGCTGAGCAATAATCCTCCTAATGATCTAACCACTGATATATGCCAGTATCATCTCCAGCTGCAATTGATATGTATCATTGTTCTCTATAATATCAGTACCTTCTACGGTCTCTTAATCTCTTTCAGTAATTTGATCAATCATTACTTCCTGCTCATTGAGATGACATCTTTGCTAATGATACACTTTAATTCATCTAAAAGACAACTGTTGATTCCGTATTGGTTGTTAAACCTAAGTAATTATCCCAAGGCTAATCAAGAAAGGGGGTGAATTGATAATTTAAAAATTCTCTTAGATTTTTTTAATAGAAATCCGTTTTAAATTTTACAGCAATTTGATTTTAGATTAAAATAAGATTTTCAACCACAGTAAACAAATGACATAAAATAAATGCGAAAAATAAAAATACACACAGATTTATAGTAGTTCGGTCAAACACGACCTACATCCACTCCTTGAAGACTCCCTCTTCAGGTATTGCACTATTACCAAAGTGACTCTCATTTTGCTCCCACAGCAAGGCTGAGAAGCCTTTACAATTCCTCTCTTCCACTAATCCCCGGTGCGGCAGAGAACCGTCACCCTTTCACACCCTCAAAGTGTCGGCAGAGAACCGTCGTCGTCCTTTTACACACTCCAAATGTCGGCAGAGAACCGTCGTCCTTTCACACCCTCTAGGTGTCGGCAGAGAATTGATCTTCTTCAAAGATCTTTTCTTGAACAACTAGAAAGAAGAAAATGAAGAGTATAATTAAAAACCAAAAGAGATTATTATCTTTGAGTAACCTTGTGAACCCTTCACACTACACTTGCAAGAACTCTCTTTCAAACACTCTCCCAAACTCACTCTTTCACTTGCTCTTGAAAAATCACGAAAAACAACCATTTTCACGTCAGTTTTTAAGGATCTTTTATATGAAAGACATGAAAAATCGTCCATAAAATTGAAATTTTTCATTTTGAGCGTGTATGATTGTATGTTCGTACGTACGAACTGTTCAAAAACTGTTGCGTACGAAACTTTTGTGAATCTGTACGAAATGACTTCGTACACGATGATTGTCCAGTATGAACCAAGTTCGTACTGTATGAATAGCTAGAAAATTTTTCATATTCGTCAGGACGAAGAGGGGGCCCACATTTTCGTACTCTGGATGGCGTCTGTACGAAGACGACATCGTACAGTACAATCTGTTAAAAAAATAATGAATTTGTCGGAACAAAAAGGGACCTGTCCAATTCGTACTCTGGACGGCGTCAATATGAAGACGACATCGTACAGTACGATCCGTTCAGACAAACAATGAATTCGTCGGGACGAAAAGGGACACGTCCAATTTGTACTCTTGACGGCGTGTACGAAGACGACATCGTACCGTACGATCCGTTCAGACAAATAATGAATTCTTTGGGATGATTAGGGACCCGTCCAATTCGTACTCTGGACAACGTTTGTACGAAGGAAGTTTCGTACAGTACGATCAGTACTTAGAAAAATTTTCTACCTGCAGTTCATTTGTCCCCTCGTAGGGGAAAATAACCGAACAAATCGTCCTGTACGAAATGAGTTAATATAGTACGATTACTTTAAAAAATTTACAATTTTAAACACTCCCCCAGTGTGTGTGTGTGCACAGTTACTCAATTACAATCACTCTCTCAGACTCAATAAAATGAAAATACAGACTTCATTTACAATGAACCCTAATCTAATCTGATTTGAAGTATTCAACAATTTAGAGTATGATTTCCCTGAAATGTTAGTACACACAAACAACAAAAACAATACATTCAAAATATGTTAGAATAAATTGTAATTAAAACAATAATATTTGGAATCATAAAAAAAGCATATATGTTGCATGAATCTTAACAATCGAAAAACTAAGCTGCAACAATCTCAACACCAATATCTGTACTTTTTCACTCCATTCGGATATCATAAGAATATACCTTTCTTGGATCTTGGTTCTAGTTTTCCCTGATTGATATGAATATAAATCAAATATTAAAAAATTCTTAGATTGCTTTAATCAGCCTGTTTCCCTATCCAAACTTCTTCAGGAGTTTTGAATTCAAGAGTTGTAGACGGACTTCTATTCATCAAGTAACAAACAGTATTAAGTGTTTTCCCCAGAAATGTTTATCCATTTTTGCAAATGATAACATGCATTTGACCTTTTCTAGGAAAGTCCTGTTCATCCTTTTTGTATTACCATTCTATTTTGGAGTCATTCTTATAGTCTTATGTCAGTTAATTCCATTTTCTTTACAAAATTTAGTAAATTCATTATTCAAATATTCCAACCCATTATCTGTTCTCAACTTTTTATTTTTCTTTCTAGTCTGGTTTTCAACTAGCATGTTCTATTGCTTAAATGTCTTAAATGCTTTATTTTTATGTTTTAAAATATAAATCCAAAATTTTCTTGAAAAATTATCAATGAAGGTGATAAAGCATCTATCTCCACCCAAAGTCGAAACAAAAGCATGTCCCCAAATATCTGAATGAATGTAATTGACAGTCCCTTTAGTAAGGTTGCTCTGTAGCAAACTTTATCCGAGTTTATTTCCATAAGATGCAATGTTCACAGAAATCAATCTTATGTACATTGTCTTTTCCAATTCGTGCAATACATTTAAACCCTTCAGAATAATATGACCAAGCCAAAGATGCCAAAGCTTTGTTTGATCTATCTATATAACATTCGATGTTCCTGCTCAATTATTCATTGTTCCTCCCATTAAAGAATACAATCCATTCAGGCTCTTTCCCTTCATAATCATAATCGAACTCTGATAATCTTAAGAATACCATTCTTAGCTTTGAACTTGCAACCAAATCCATCGAGAGTACCAAGAGACAACTAATTCCCTTTCAGATCTGGCACATAACTGACTTTAGTAAGAGTCCTAATCACTCCATCATCAGTTTTAATTATAATAGTTCCAATTCCAAGGACTTTACAAGGTGTGTCATTTTTCATAATGACCTTCCCTCCATTGACTTCTTTGAACTATTAAACCAATGCCTGTTATGAGTCATATGAAACAAACAACTGAATCCATTATCCAATCTTCCTTGTTAGAATATGTAGTAACTACCAAAAACTTTGAATCCACAAATCAATTTGATGCTACTTACGTATCCCCAAATTTAACTGACCTCCCCTTACCATTCTTTTTCAGATTTGAATAATTCTTCTGGTATTGCCCTTCCTTATGAAAGTGAAAACATGTGAATTTAGTCTTAGACTTGGACATTGACTTGTTTCTATACTTGTTCTTTTATTTCTTCTCTGGTACCTCTAGCATTCAAACCTAAAGCACCCTATGATTCTTTTTCAGTTTTTGTTTCTATCTATTTAGATGTCAAAGCAATATGAACCTCTTCCAAAGACAAAGTCTCCTGAGCATATTTCATTATTTCAACAAAATGAGCATACGATTTAGGAAGTGAATTTAGGATCATTATTGCCTGATCCTCATCATCCATATTAACTCCAGGATTTTATAAATCAATATTAATTTTATTGAAATCATCAATATTATCCTGAAGACTTTTTGACTCCGACATTTTAAATCTAAACAACTTCACCTTGTAGTAGATCCTACTCTGCAAATTCTTAGTCAGATGCATTTGTTCCAATTTCAACCAGATCCCAACAACAGTTGTCTCTTTATCAACCTCACGAAGAACCATGTTGCTCAAGTTCAAAACTAGGGTATTATACATTAACTCCATGATAACTACCTTCGCATATGGATCTAAAGAACTCGATAAATTTCTCTCTCCTTCCAACGTCTTAGCAACCTTCATTTGGACCAGAATGGCTTTTATTCTTTTGGTCCAAATTGAGAAATCGGTTTTTCCATCAAACCATTAAATCTTAACCTTCGAATCCCCCGTTCTGTTTAAATTTGACGAGTGTATCTTATATCAATTTGTTAAACCTTGAAGACTGTTGAAACCCAACTAACTCAAGATCTTTTCCAAACTAGAATTATTATTCAGAAAGAAACTGCATCTCATTTCCCTGAACATGTTACTTAAAGGCCAACTCCTCATTGCATATATTAGCCAAGTCATTGTACAACTTTAATCATGGCTAAATTTATGTATTATTATTAAGCATCGTCCCCCAGTGTCTTAATAAGCATTATGCCCTGAACATTACGTATATTCTATGAATCTTAAACATAGTTATAATTTGTTATGATATCGCAGGTTTTTGCCCACCCCAGTTAATAGAAGAAGAAATCAAATTAATAGAGAGGTTCGATCCCTTCTTAGAGGCATGATTGAAAAAAGAGAGAAGGCAATCAAATCAGGAGAGAAAAATATCGATGACCTGTTGGGCCTATTGATTGAGACCAATCTCAAACAATCTGAAGAGCATGGAAATTACAAGAAAGGTGGGATGACCACAGAAGATATTATTGAAGAATGTAAGCTTTTTTACTTTGCAGGACAAGAGACAACAAGTGTTTTACTTAATTGGACAATGGTACTCTTGAGTATTTATCCAAGCTGGCAGGAAAGAGCACGTGAAGAGGTCAGGCAAGTTTTTGGTGAAAATGCACCAGACTTTGATGGTTTAAGCCGACTGAAGATTGTAAGTGATTTCTTAGTTTGTTTATTCATCTCAGAATGTTTTTGCATTCTTGGCCAGTGAAGAGAAAGTAGGTTATTTGTGCTATCAATATTTGCGTTAAATTCTTGGTTTTGGTATGTAGAAATTTATTAAAGTTTAGCTTTTGAAATTGCTTCTCTCAAACTTAATTGTCATACGGAAGAAACCAATTCATAACATTGAAGAGTGCGTCAGGTGTTTATATGCTTGTTGATGGATGGATGAATCATATTAATAAACATAATAACAACATTTGACCCACAACTTTACACACAAATAAAGAAATATTTTTCATGTTTATCTAGTATTAAATGATTAATAGAATTGCAATCTGTTCAATCTTAATTATTACGAAGGAGTGAAAAATAGAACGCATGTAAAGTTTATATTACAAATGAGCTTATTATGCTCAGAAGACCTACAAAACGCCCTTTAATTATAAAAAAGTATCAATGATACAGCGATTTAATTATAAAAAAGTATCAATGATACACCGATTAAACGCAAACCAATTTGATAAACTAGTTGATTATTTAGTGCTTGTTTCTGTTAGTAAGAAGTTAACATCAAATTGCAGATCGTAACACATCATTCCACTTGTTTCTGTTTTTTACTCTCATATCCTCGTGTTATTCTAAGTAACGCTGAATCATGGTAATATATCATTCATTAAACCTTTTTTTTTCTTTCTCATTACCAATCAGCTAAGAAACTCAAATTCACCTCATTAAGAAATCTCATTAATTGGAAAATAAAGCAAGCGATGCTCAACAAATATCAAGCTCAGCCAAGTACTAATGTAACTCAAACTCTAATTAGAACTGGCTAGTTAGCATCAAATACATCTTCAAATATGCTAGATTGTGTAATTTGGAGTACAGAATAAGAAACTTTGTAATACGCTTATGCTTTTGCTGCTAACTTCCAAATTGCTGCAGGTGACCATGATTTTGCATGAGGTTCTAAGGCTATACCCACCTATAATTCTCCTTGGCCGAATGACCTACAAGACTATGGAGCTAGGAGGTATCACTTACCCGAAAGGTGTTATACTCTCCCTTCCTGTAATCTTCATTCACCATGATCCTGAAATCTGGGGAGAAGATGCCCACGAGTTCAAACCAGAGAGATTCGCCAATGGCATATGGAAGGCAACAAAGAACAATCAGATGGCCTTCTTCCCATTTGGTTGGGGTCCTCGCATTTGCGTTGGTCAGAACTTTGCAATGTCTGAAGCCAAGATGTGCTTGAGCTTGATTCTTCAACGTTTCAAGTTCGAGCTCTCACCATCTTACATCCATTCTCCATACACTGTCATAACACTTCAGCCTCAGCATGGAACTCAGGTTGTGTTACGTAGAATAGAATGAATTACAATTATACTACATGCCCCAGCAGTATTAATACTTAAATAGTTTGATAAATCGCATATATTTGCAGTTAGAATAGTCATTTTGGGATCAACTTTTTCTCTTGTTTTACTTTGCAACTTTTCAAGAGGGGAGTGGCAATAATGTAATTATATGCGAGCTGTGTGCAATTAAAAAAATAAAACCACAATTTTTGTTTATGCTAAAGGTCGGTATGTCATTTTGCATGTATCAATCAATATTGAAAAACAGACGTTGAGGCCAAAAAAGGTGTTGGGAAACAATTGTGTTGCTCAAGATGAACCATAACTAGATTCAATTCTGGCTGATTGTAAAGCCTCTAAAGAGTGGTATGTTGTGTATTCATATATTGTTGACTGCATTTGAATTTTATTCATAGTGAGAATTATAAATGACCAATGAACAAGGCAAATTAGTTAAACACTTATTGTACATCTTAGGTCAATTAAGAGGCCTAAGACTAACTGTTTTGAAAGTGGTAGCTAAAAGAGAAGCCACACATCTGATTTTATGGAAAATCATTCCCTTATTATTGCTTTTAGGTTGCTAAGTATTAGGATAAAAGATTTAATGTGTTGAGAACATAAAAAAGCTCACAAGCCAATCCAAAGTTAAGAAACCAAGGTAAGGGCATTCCATTCTTGTGCCCAATCATTTAAATAATAAAATAAAATTATGTATACAAGTGAATGGTATCATATAGTTCAACTATGCCTAGCAATACACCCAAGAAGATTAAAACATGATTAATTGGGCACAACCATAAATCAGCATAACATTTCATCTAGTGATTAAAGAGAGAATGGTCATCTAAGGACCCTATAAAATATTAACATAACATTTATTCATATAGTAGTAAGATTTTAAGATATCATAAATGAATAAGGCCTTGGCTCATGTGGAAAAATTAATATGATATGAACACAACTTATGGACCGCTAATAGTAATGATCGAGTCTAGTGAAACTCACAACTTCACCCAAGAAAGAACAATCTAGGCAATTCTCTCAAGGTGCCAATAATTCAAATCACATAGGTGTTCTAGGTGGTTGTCAACCTAAGGTCGAACAACCCTCTGGCATACACTACAAAAATCATTCTCATTTTTTAGGTGGAATATAGTGCCCAAGTTATTGATCCTATGTTGGGCTATATATTAACAATATATCATGCATAATATGTGCCTCCATTGATCAATCATGGGTTAAGGAATAAGAAAAGTTCACTTCAATTAAATTTTCAATCAGCTGGACTAAAATTTTTGGTGGTCTTGCTATACTAACCAAGGCCAAAAGGGCTCATTATGTTTGGGAATTGGGCAATGTGGAATAAAGTTGTTGGGTAGAAGCTTATCGGTCATTAAGAAGTCAATCAAATTTACGCAACAATCCTTGATGGGTAATATTCGACTATGAAACAGAACCCTTGACTTACTTCTTTGCAAGAACTCAAAAAAGTAGAACTTAATGGTAATAGAAAAATTTATATATAAAGTTGTTGGGACAGAAGTCATTGGCCTATGGATGAAAAGAGAGTAAATTGACACCGTGGGAAACTTTAAGATGCCACCTTATAAAAGATGATGAGATGTCCACTTGCATTTTAAGAAGGTCACCTTTTAAAGTCAAAAACTTTTCCTTGCTTAGAATATCAATCATAAATGATGCTATTCATATATGAAGTTATTTTAGCTAACAACTTGTCGACAAGGAATCTAAAAGCAGTGACAAAGAGACTGTGAGAGACCGCTTGAAGTCATTGAACACTTAAAGTCGAGAAGGGTGTAACTATCTTTTTTAACGTTGAAGCTTGACAAAGCGATTGTGAGAGACCGCTTGAAGTCATTGAACACTTAAGAGTCGAGAAGGGTGTAACTATCTTTTTTAACGTTGAAGCTTTATTTATTTGGCAAATCACATGGTATACTTAGTTTATGGAAATGATTATATCATTTATAAATCTTGTCAAGTAATAAGAATATACATTTTTCATATATTCATTTTATTTTTTACATAATGATTAACTCATCTCTTACATGATTTAGGATGTATTTATGCATGGTATGTTTTTTAGGCCAATAGTAGAGGACATATCACAAGTAGGAGACCCATAGAGAACATAAATTCTTTGCGATAGAAAGAATAAATCAAATTTATGTTAGTGGCCCAAGGACATGATGATTGTTTGGCATTGTATGTCAAAGCATGCAAATTCTAGGCTATTTAGCAACGGAAAATAGACTTCACCCTTCACTTATGACATAGAATTCTAATATTTTTTTTTAGGAAACTACAAGATCAATGTAGGATGACATCTTCCAAGTGTTGACCTCATTTCTTAATGAGGTCGACTCTATCCTCTTAAAGCTTAGACTTAACACATAAGTTTCTTACCTTAGTGTAAAGTCCTTCTCTATGGGACCCTCTTAGGTGGATTCATAAGGATTTAACTTTGCCAACCTTATTATATTCAGAATTGGATGTTTCTGATCATAGGACCCTTAGCCTAGATTAACCTTAGTTTGTCCATAGAAGGCGTCTATGAATCTTTAGGAAATACTTTTAGACCCCTGTTAAACTTACTAGGAGAATTTTAACACTTCACAACCTCATTTGTAAAAGGTGGAGTCAATCCAAAACTCAATACCCAAATGGATCCTATGGTGGACCTCATAAGATTGATAAAATTACCTATTGCCCAATCAATGTGGCCCATAAACCTCTTAGAGATCTTAGAACACTGTTTTGTAACCTTAAGTAGGCATTAGACACCACCAAGTCAAACAAAGGTTAACTTTAGAGAAAACTTTAAAATACCTAAAATTACCTAAATGTCTTAATCCTTAGATTCAACCTATGGTAACCTTTGGCCCTAAGACTCATCCAAGAAACTTTAGACCTATTCATGATTTCATCCCATAGGTTAAGGAGTTTTAGTTAACCTCTTTAACCCTTGGTGAAAGGGGGTTTGACAAAGGCTAATCCTTAACCTAAAACCAAACCTAAAAATCCAAATGTTGTAATTTGGCTTGAGACTTGAGTCTAAATACTCAAACCCATGTTAGCAATGTTTTGACTCGGGTTAACCCATGATCACATATCTTTGAACATGGTCAACCCAAATTTGACCTAAACCCTAATACCACCCTAAATCCAATATAAATGCCCAAACCTAATTATGTTTGTTTAACGGTTATTCCAAATTATTATAATTCATATTTCTAGCATTTGGGTTCTTGTTGGATCCATGGTCAAGCCTTTTGACCATGTTCATCCCATAGTTGACCTAAAATCCTTAAAACCATGGATTTGAACTTAGTAATTTAAACGTAATCCTAAAATTTTAGCTATTATTTTAAATGACTAAATAATTTTAGAATATTTCGAATCAAGTTTTACCAATGGTCAAATATATTTTTTCCATAGGTGTCAAAATTATCAAAATACCCTTATGATGAATGTTAAGGAATAACCAAACCCTCAAGCCTTTGCTTTGTATTCAAATGAATCTAATTCATTTTAAAGACATTTGCGATCATACCTAAACCATGGTCAAGACAAGTTGACCATGGTTGATCCAAGTTACAAAAATACCCCATAAGCTTTCCATTATGGGTTCCTTAGGTAAAAAAAAAACTCAAACCCATGCTTTGGCATTAAATCCAAGAATCCTAACTCACATTAGGATCATGTGAAATCATGTCTAGCTCATGGTCAAGCCTAGTTGAACAATGCTAACCCAAGTTACCAAAATGCCCCATAAGATTTCCATCAGGGTTCCCATGCTTTGGCATTAAATCCAAGAGATCCTAACTCACCTTAGGATCATTTGGAAGCATATCTAACTCATGATCAACCATTCAACCCTAGTTGATCATGGGGGTTTTAAATCCCAAATTACCACTATATGAACCATTATGATTTCGTTAGCTTAAAACCCAAAAAATTGGGCTTGGCTTTGAACCCAAGTGACTCTAATCCAATCGATAGACACTTGGTATCATTTCAAACCATTGACAAGCTTATTTGATCATGTGTAACCTAATTTATCAAAATAGCCTTAAGAGCATATCCATACTGCCCTTAATTAATATCTAATTACGTCTAATCTAAATTGAACCAAACATGGAATGAAAGTTGCTTAAGACCTAAGTTGTTGAATAAGTCAACCAAGCCCTTTTGGGATAACACAAAGGGTGAACTCATATAAACGCAGCCTAATTAAGAGACCCAAAATAAAATTTAGGCTAGGTTTAATGAATCTATTACCTTGGCTAGTTGTCTACACCATCTTTGAAGTCATCACCACCCTGCACTTGCTCTAATAGTGGGGCTACTAGTTGTTGGATGAAAATCCATGCATTTCCATTGTGTCAAAAATGGGCTTTGTCCTAACCAACTTGCTACCTATCCCCATGCATTGGAATGCTCATAGGCACTTGGTAGTACCCTAATAATTTATTCATAATAACCTAAGATTTGAAATTACCTTTTGCAGCCACTGAATTAGGTAGGAAATATCAAGGTTTTTTTTTTTTGAATAGCTCTTTCCACATTGAAAATTAGTTGTGAAAACTTGTTTCTTTCATTTCATAGAGCTCCTATAACTACTTGCTAACTTTACCCAGTTCAACTTTAGCCTCTAGGATTTACATAAACTGAGCCACGATATGTCTCCATGGCTAAAGTTCATTTTGCAATCCATTCCTCAATTTCAATCTCTTCAATAATCTTATTTATTGAGGTCAGACAAACTCACAAGAACACTCAATTGAATTTTAAGCGCATAGACCAAGTTTCCCCAATAAAAATTTAAATAAAATATCAAATTCCATATATTGTGAAACTAATTTGCAATCTGTGGGGATCCTATTATTGGATTGCGAGCATGTGAAATCTTGATCCTCCTTGAACAAAAGGTAATAAATTTAACTATGAATAAGCCTGAATAAGAATAAAATGTGTTAATGATTTATGTCTAAAGTGGAGGTCAAAGACATAATCAAAGCAATTCAACTTATTGAAATTGAATATTGTTGATTTGGTCACACTATACCTCAGATCGACTTCCCGTGTTATAGGAAAAATGCGCAAGACATCCAATTCAAGATTAGATAGCTTGAGTTGATCCTAAGTGGTGCACCAGATCCATGGATTTAAACATAAAATAATGGACCATTGCTGCATCTACACCTTTTAATTAAGTCAATTTAAATGACTTAATAATTTTCAATAAATCATTCAAATTTTTAAAAAAAGTTTAG